CTGAGGGACAGCAACCTGGCCCCTGGCTCAAAAAGGTTGCCTACCCTGGTGTAAATACTTCAATCTGTTTCTCAAAACTTCCATAAGAATATCTAATTATGCAAAAGGGGGTAAGATATACTGTACAGTGTGTTTCATAGTGTCTACAAGTTGTAAATTTAGGTGGGTTTTGTTGTGTAGTTGTTATGGTTTTTAAAAATGGCACATGTTTTATGTATATCTGATCATATCTAACTTCCAATATCTAATACCGTAGACTTCATTGGTCCTCTGGTAAAATCAGCTTCTATACTTTCACAGCTTTTGATTTTTTCTACCAAGCATTGGACGTGTCATCACACTTAGGTTGCGGTTCTAGTCAATGGGACTTACTGCTTCAAAACAGACATGTACAAAACTGCACTGAAAGTAAACAGAGATCAGTATTGCATGAGAATGGTTATGGCTTGAAATAAATCTTTGTGTTTTACTAAAGTAATGAGTGCTGATTATAGTCTGTGAGGAGCACAGCTGTTCCTGTTAGTATGCTGTATATCAATGATTCTCAAAAATTGGTGTTCCAGGTATTTTGGATTTCAACTCCCAGAAGCCCCAGCCAACTTGGCCAATAGTCAGGAATTCTGGGAGCTGACATCCAAAACATTTGTAGGAGCAAAGTTTGAGAACCACTTCTGTATAGTATTTCTTTGCTATATTTACTTATATACTCTTTATATAATTTGCAACAACTTTTCATTGTTGTGCTGCATGTTGCAACAGGCTGACAAACAGTTCCAATCAATCATTAATTGTCAAATATTATATAATGTGTGTGTGTGTGTGTGTGTGCGTGTGCACTGTCATAAGACACTGTCATGAGAGAGCAAGAGTGGTGTAGTGGTTTGAGCACTGGACTACGACTCTGGAGACCAGGGTTCAAATCCCAGCTTGGCCATGTAAACCCAGTGGTTAACCTTGGGCAAGTGACAGTTTCTCAGCCTCAGAGGATGGCAATGGCAAACCCCCTTTGAATAAACTTGGAAAAAAATTATGGGTTTGACTTAAGGTCACCATAAATCAAAAATGACTTGAAGGCACACAACAGGAACATCAGCAATGCACAGTCAATACAGGCAATAAGTTGGTGAACCAAGATGGGATATAACTATTTGAGATGGTTTAAGAAAATCTTCTGATAGGTTTTTCTTTTTCAGTGAGAGATTGAAGCAGAAGAAATTCAGGAAATGAGCTGGAATTTGTAAAATAAAGATATGTTCATTTTAATTTGGTAAAAGATTCTGTTATATCTGTTCTTGATATAATCCTTTTCTGGGAACCAGACACACCAACTAAGCAGGAAGCAAGGAGGACCACACAAGGAGCACCTCAGAACAGGTCAGCCCACCCCTTGCTCACCTGCTAGGGAAAGATCCTTGGGATGTCAGTAACTGGCATATAGAAAGAAGGCACCGTGTAATTCCCATTGCCACCTAGGAAGTCAGGCACTACTAAAGTCCAGTGATTTCGGTGGGAATGTTACTTGGTATATCCGTTGCTATATATCGGAGTAAAGAAATACATGCAACCTTTGTGAACGAGGATTGTGAGATCCCTTCCCCCATTGAATGCCAATAAATTAAAATTTGAAATTTTAGACTGTTCTTTTCCAGATGTTGGAATTGGTGTGTAGATGTTTCCTTCCATACCTCCCATCCATGTCTCATGATGGTTTCAGAGTAGATACTTGACCTTGCTCTTCTGAGTGTCACAAATATTTAGGGCAAGGGGAAAGGAGACATTTCTGGGATACAACCCCCCCTTTTTTTTTTAGTCAGTGAAATTTCAGACACAGGGTGTGTCTATACCACACAAGAATAGCCATTTACTTCCATAGCTCCATCCTGGGATTCTGGGATTTGTATTTTTATGAGGCATTTAGAATAATCTGCCAGAAAGCCCTATTGCTGCAGTTCAGCTGAGTGTACTGGAGAAGTCTGAGCGCCACAGCAAACTACAGATCCCAGGGTCCTGTAAGATGGATTTTTTAAAAGGCCTATGGCCATATAACTGGGAATAAGCCCCATTGAAGTCAGTAGAATATATTTCTGAGAACAGTAGATATAGGTAGGATTGTATTGTTGGAAAGTGCTTTTTTAGCTTGCTGTTATGCAGTGTAGTAACATGCTATTCTGTATTTGTGGCTTGGAGCAAGGCCATAGTTCAGTCCTTGAGACAGGAATTGAACAGGCTCAGACCTGAAACATAATGAAAGTTTTAAGCAATGAATGTTTTAATATTTTACAAAGGGTATTTCCTCTTGCTGAGACAAAAGTTGCCATTTAAAGAGACTTAAGGGGGTCTCCTCCATGTTTCTTATCTATAATGCTTTTAAGGAAGGGATTTTATTTTTCAACATTTAAAGCTACATTTGCTGACATGGAAGAAGTTCAGATGGAGAGCAACCCAATAGACTTAGAGGGCTACTGTGAAGACTGTGAATGTGGATTGCTTGCCAAGGTGGACATCCACCAGCATTATGGGTCATTAACTTGTGATAAGACACAGAAAAGAAGGGGCATGGGTCTGGCTTTCCAATACTGGAAAAGCAGAACAAGTGTACCTCAGAATGTGTTAGTTTTAGATGCTACAATACCACAATATATGTACAGAACACATTTTATACCGTGGCAGGTAAATGCCTTGTTTTGATATGCCATCTAGGTTTCTGCTGCATTAAGCTTTCTCTTACCTGGCTCATCTGGCTTTTTATAACAGCTTGGTTGTTTACAGTCCACAGGGATCTCCTTATAGGTAACATAGGCACTGCAGAGCAGAGGATGCAGGGTAGAGAAGTGTAGTAACCGTGTAGTAACTACTGGTGCCAAGTAATCTGCATGGAAATTAACTAACTGCAGAAACATTTTAATAGAGGTCATGTTTTTCACTCTTGCTGCAAACAGTTAATACTCATAGAATCATAGAGCTGGAAGAAACCAGAAGGTCTATCTCAGGGGTAGGCAACCTTTTTGAGCCAGTGTCCGGGTTGCTGTCCCTCAGACAATTGGGGGGCTGAAGCACCATAAATAAATAAATAAATAAATAAATATTAAAAATTTAAAACAAATAAAAAAAAATAAAAAAATATGCATGCACACTCTCTCAGCTCCAGAAAAGCCATGGCAAAACCCCTGTGGAGATTTTGCCAAGAAAACCCCAAGAACAAGTAATAACAACAATAATCAATATTATCATGGCAGGCAGCAGGAGGCGGCAGCAGCAGGAGCGGCAGGACCAGCATGGGGCCGGTCCAAAGGCCTTGTGGGGGCCGCATCTGGCTCCCGGGCCTTAGGTCGCCTACCCCTGGTCTGTCTAGTCCAACCCCCTACCATGCAGGAATATAAAGTCAAAGCACTTCTGACAGATGGCTATCCAGCCTCTGTTTAAAAACTTCCAAAGAAAGAGACTCCAGTATGCTCTGAAGCAGCATATTCCATTGTTGAACAACTCTTATTGTATAAATACTCTTTTTATAGGAATTATAAAACTATTCTTTATTGCCGCTTTCCTCTTTTCTATGTGTATATGGTTACTTTCAGGGTTAGCCTGTGGTCTAAGCAAGGGGATGCTTAACCCCCCAAAGGCAGGTTGAGGCACCTTTCTTGCTCATTCCACACAACCTGCTGGTTGCTACTTATAGGGGAGAGCTATAGGTTTTTCATGTGAGCACTAAACAAAGCGATTGACTCCTTTTCCATTTCTAACATGAATAACTTTCCTTTTTCTGTATGTCTGTGTTATTAACTTCTTTACACTACTAAAGATACCTTGACAAAGAAACCTCACCACAGAAATTGCATTGACTTTAAGATTATCTTCTCAAATTGTTTTGTGTGTACTCACTTAAAAAGTAATAGAATAATACAACTAAGGTAGTGGTGGCATCAGCATGTTAAAGTTACTTTAGTACTAGGGACTAAATGCTATCAGTACATCAAAATTCATAAGATCCATAAGGTATATTGTAATGGCAATGTATTTTTTTTTAAATGAAGCTTGAATTCTCTGTCTTTCAGTTAATTCTATACAATAAGTGTATGATATTGAAGGCAAAGAGGCAATTGGTTCAGTACTAGAAATCACACAAATGTAGAAACTTCCAAAAGCAATGAAGTTGCCAAGCCAGCTTCCACCTCATGACAGGTCTGTTCATGTGAAGTCAACCATTTATTTCCTTCTTAATGTTCCAACTGAAACTTTGGGAGCACACACATTGCATAAAAAACTCCGCATTGTTCTCACATAGCCCCCAAGTGTTTCATTCTAGAAAAACAAATTCTGCTCTTCCGGTTGAATGAATGAAAATATGTCTATAGATGATTCATGGGTCAAGTTAATAATTAATTAATTATATACCAAGGACAAATCCATTTGTGCAAATAAGAGTTTGTCTTTGAGACGGAAAAAACATTCTGAAAAATAGTGGCATTGCAGCGCCCACGCTGCTTGAAATGCGAGGGCTCTGTCCATATTGCAAGAGTATGGGAAGCTATTCACCAACAAAGAAAATAGTTACTGGAAGTGTCTTTCCTGCATTGGTTTGCCACTTAAGATAAGGATGGAAAAGATATGTCCCTCCAAATGTTGGACTGGAACTCCTACATGAATGGATGGGCTATGCCTGACCAGTAGCTAGGGCTGTTGACGGTTGTCACAGGATCTCCACCCATGCCTTAGGATTTCAGTCTCCATGGTCACACTTTGTTCCAACAACACCAGCACATAACACTATTGTTAACACTACGTAACGAGTCTAGAAAATCTTTGAGACTCATCAGCTAGAGCAGATAGTACTTGGCTAGATGCTCCACTAATCTGACTGAAAAGGCAGCACTATGTGTCAAGATTAACAATCAACATTCAGTCCCCCACTTCCTTTTTTGCCTTCAAAACCTGCCCCAAAGGCATTGTTCCATATCATCTGAAAGTTAGTTCTGCCATTTTAGATATTCTCTGCAAACAGTGGCTATGAAGCAGGGGTGGCAATGGTGGAAGACTTATATAATATTGGCCTCCCCGCTGCACCTGTTCCTGCAAAACAACAACAACCCCTTTTTTTCTTTTGCTTTCATATACCCCCAAATGCCCTATAATCTAAGTGACATGGGAGCATGTTTTGGCACCTTTCTGTGCCCTTAGAGGACATTTCTTTGGCATTCTGAGGCAAAGCAAAAATGTTTGTGGGGTTGTGGGGTTTTTTTGCAAATTTTGTCTTGACTATGGTAATGGTGTCTCCAGGTGGACTCTAAACATGGTGATAATGCTCAGCACACTTTCTAGAGATCAATTTTGGACATTTCTGACCAATTTTTTTGTTCAACCCCTTGGGATCACTGGGGTTCCTCTGGCCCACAAATCACACTTTGCCCATTTGCACTGTAAAGCATGCTGATGTCTGCACCCATTTGTTGCCTGTTAATTACCGGAGGTTAGGTCTGTCAGCTCATCTCCCTGTTCAAAGGCAATAAGTGACGGAATACCAGTTGTTAGGAGACCAATAGGCAAGGAAGTCTTTTGCCTCCATTCACTATTTCTGCCTGAGGGAACTAGGTTGGACCTCAATGGGAAAGACACACAGGACTAGACAGTCCCTTGCCTTGATTTTATGGGCTCTTTTATAAAATCTTCTCCATGTAAATGCAAAGTGATTCATGACAGACAAACAGAAAACATTGTCTGTTCTCTTAGTAATAGCTTTCTAGATCCTAGTTTATAATGTTGTCAAATAGGATGGAAATTGGTAATACCTTTTCTGTTCTGCAAAACACAATAGTTTCCAATATTTCAGTCTCTGTAATTGATTCTAAACATTAGCAGTAAAATTCTTTAGAATTTACAAATAAAGTTGAAGGCTTCGGTTGCATTTACATTTCTCTGGAAGTAAGACCCAGCTTTCTT